CAAGCTCTGAGCAGCAGAGCCACTGGTTCGGATCCCACATGGGCCAGTGATGCTGTGCCCTCTACAGCTAAGATGGTGAACAATAGCTCGACCTGGAGCTGGGCTGCCGTGAGTTACCGGCGACAGTGTAGCCTGCAGTGGGCAGCCGTAAGCTACTGTGAGTGGCCGGCAGCCAGCGTGAGTGGCCGGCAGCCGGTGTGAGCTGCTGTGAGTGGCCGTCCAAGGGCCAGCAACCAATCTGCCTCACCCAGGAAGAGTGCAATGATCACAGTACCAACATGGGCCAGTGAAACGATGTCCTCCACAACTAGACTGAAGAACAAAAGGACAACAACTTGTCTGTTCCCCTTCCCCGATTCCCGAATGCTGTTCCCTCCCCCAATTCCCCAGTAAAATCTAAAAAAAAAGAAAGAAAGAAAATTTTAATCCACAGGCCAGTGGAGAATGTATTGAAAACAGCACAGGCAGGACAGGTATAATCAGGTGACTAACCACTGTACAAATGCAGTACAACTAAGACAGGCACTCTTCCTCCTCCCATGCTTTAAAAAAATCTACATAGGGGTGGACGGATGGCTTAGTTGGAACATGTGCTCTTAACAAGGTTGCCAGTTCGACTCCCACATGGTTTGGTGGGCTGTGCCCACCACTCCCACCCCGCAACTAGATTGAAAAGCAGCAACTGGACTTGGAGCTGAGTTTGCACCCTCCACAATTAAGATTGAAGGACAACTACTTGACTTGGAGCTGATGGGTCCCGGAAAAATACAATGTTCCCCCTCCCCAATTCCCCAATAAAAATCTTTAAAAAATAAATAATAAAATTAAAAAATCTACACAGGAAAGTAGGAAGTATCTATTTATTCTATAAAATGATGCATCATTAGATTCCTTTTTAAGAAAAGTGATCTTTCCTATTATAAATTTGGATTCTATTATATGCAACCTTCTCCCCACATGATCTGTAAAGTGAGTATAATGGAACATATGCATTTTACAGAAATACAATATTTTGGTCACAGATAATATCTTACTATTTGCTTTAGGAGTCTCTCTCACACTGGAGTAGCCTCCTTCATTGCTCTCCTAACCACAGTCCCAGAAATGTGGCCCCCTTAGGCACCTTTGAACTCTGTGGCCCTGATCCTATTCTGGGCCCCAGATGATACAAGCAGGACCAATCAGATTCTCTTTCCTGAAAATTTGGAATTGAGACTAACATTCATCCACATTTGACTGGAATAAAGACAATGTCATGTAAGGAGCTGTGGGCATGAGCAGAGAGAAAGATTTTATTATAATACATGGCTTTTTGGTCCCCATACATTCTTACCCTCAGGTGTCATAGGATGCCCCTACATACTTATAATAAAACCTCAATTTTGCCTTGATATTACCTGGGAATAGCCTGAAATGATGTCCTGCTCAAGACAAGTCCCTTCCTCCATCTACCAGTATTAGTGATTACAAAATGGTGCAAAATGATACTCTATAAAGTAATTATAGATTGGCAATCATTACTGTAATGGTTATTATAATAATGATGGCTTTTTCACTTTTTAATGAAATGTTATGCTATGGTACTAGATGCTAATTGGGTTAGTTTACTCAGTTGGTTACAGTTGTGCTAAACTACCAAAGCCGATTTAATCCCACAGGAATTAATAAACTTCACAGAAAAATTTCACATCTGTTTTCCAGAGTGTGTCTAGTTAGACTCACTCTTCTGTGAGTTGTACTTGTTCTAGGTGGTCCATTAACTCTTTGTTTTGTCTTTGCCTTTTTTCCTTTTCCCGTCTACTATCCATTTGCTTCAGGAGACTTTGGAAATATTCCTCTTGCTTTAAAGCATGAATCTCAGGACTGAGTGGCCGTTTATCAAATAGGGAGGATTTCTAGAATGAAAGAGAAGCAATTTATTTATTCTAGAATACCAAAAAGCAACAAAGAATAAAAGTAAAAATTCAGAAGACTAAAATCAACCAGAAAGAATTGATTAATTTATATTTGCCCCCATCCTCAACCCATTAAGCAGTTAGTGTTGAGGTAACCCACAGGATCGTATGAATGTGCTCAAGGATGAATCTGAGCAGAAGGGACCAAAGCCCAACATCCAATACCGAGACGAAAAGGGACTCACAGACTAGGACATAATACTCATACAGAGATGGCAAAAAAAAAGGAATTCTGAGTGAGTGCGAAAGCATGAGCGAGGACGGGGAGTTGGGAAGGGGAAGAACTGAGCACTCAGCTCTGGGCATGGCCATTTCAGAGACTGGTGATTCAACAGTGACCAAGGACAGAGACCCGCAGAGAGCCTCGCTGTCATCAAGCCTGCATGCTGGTGCAGGAGACAGACAGTGAACAAGCAAATAGTACAGCAGATAGCTTCAGGTAATGATAAGTGCTAGGAAGCCCTTATCATCCAAGTGACTGGGGGGGAATAGGATTAAATTGGTTGGTTATTAGGGAAGGCTTTTCAGTGGAGATGACTGAATCCCCTCTATTGCAAATATCAGGAGACCTGTGTTCACACAGAAGGAACATCAAGTACAAAGGCACTATATGGAAACAATAGGTGTTTAATAAGCAGAAAGAAGGACTATGTGGCTGAGGGAATAGTGAGCAAAGGGAAAGCAGGGATAGATAAGCTCAAAGAGGGAGGCAGGGGCTGTACTATATAGGACCGGAGAGGTCTGAAACAGAGCCCAGTTGGGACCCACACAAGAGAGGCCTTACACTGTCCCTGGCTTCTCCTCTCTCTGCCCTAGAGCTTAACAATTGATCAACCCCCTCCCTACAGTTTGAACTTGGAATGTCCCCTGTCCCAGTTCCTGAACTTAGGATGCCCCCTATCTAGATAATTACCCTGAAACTTATGCTTGCTTACTGATCACAATCTCTATGGCCTAGCATTCTTTCCAGGCTACTGTCATCACTGCTCCTGGGTTGGTGGCCATGTTGGAGCCACATCGCCAGAGGGGAGGCTCCATGCAGACCCCCGGAACCATCACGTAGCCTCTGGAGGAACGCCCAAATTTTCCCTTAAATATCCCAGGCTAGTCTGAGAATGTTAAGGCGGTTTTTGGAGGCGTTAACCCGCTGCCTTCTCAAACCACTGGTGCTCTGATAATAAACGCTTATTCTATGGCCCAACCCCTGTGTGGGTCTATCGGCTGAGCGGTGCAGGCAGCATGAGCCCCGGACTCGTTTGGCCTCCAGTTTCAGGTCCAAGTAAGCTTAAATTTTATTTTAATTCAGGGGGAGGCCATTAGATACTTTAGACAGGAGAATGATATATTTTAGTTAATAGTTCTGAAAGGTCGCTTTCACTGTTGTGTGGACAATAGACGGTAGAAGGGCAAGAAGGCTGCCAGCAAGCCTAGTTAGGGAGGGCACTGCAGGAGTTCAGCCTTCTAACGTGGGCGAGGGTGGTAACATTGAACATGAAGAGATGTGAAGAGCCGTTGGATATATTTCAGAAGGCAACTGGACTTTCAGATGGTTGTAGGTGGGGGACAGACAAGGAGGAATGTGGAACCACTTCTAGGTATGAGGTGCATGCAACTGTCTGGCTGGTGACACCACTTACTAAAATGGGACGGCTGAGAGAAGAACAGGTTGAGGAGGGGAATCAAAAGTTCTGTTTGGGTATTTTTAAGTTTAAGATATCTACAGATATATCAAAGAAGAGATACTAAGTGGGCAGCAATAAATATAACCTGGAACTTATATTAAGAAGAAAGGCAGATCATACGTAAATGTCAAAAGCACCATGCTCTTCCTCCCTCCCTCTCTGTTGCCCCTGTCTGAAAGGTTCTTCCTCCATTCACTTCTTTACCTAATTCCTGTATACCAGGAAGTCTCCCCAGATCTCTGGTCTGGGTTAAGTGACTCTCTTCTTTGCTCAAATAGTGCCCTGTTCAATGATTTATCAAAGCAGCTGATACCACACTCTTGTCTCTGTACATCTGTCTCCCCCACTATCCTCTTTAGACCTCTTTAGAAAGGAACCTTGTCTTATTCATCTTTGTGTTCCTAACCACCAGCACAGTGGCCAGCACACAGGAGTTCATTAATACATGTTTGATGATGAATAAAGAAAACATATTTTATTAGATTTATGTCCAGAGTGTCAAGCAACCACCTGGATAGTGAGGTAAAAGGAAAAAAGGATTCAGGCAGAAATAAAGGTAGGCACATAATTGACTGAAAACATTAAATAAATGACAAAGTAGGTGGCTTGTCTCCATCTGAAGCTGGGCTTCTCAAACTTTAATGCACCTAAAGATCACCTAAGTATCTTACTCAAATGTAGAGTCCCATTCTGGAGGTTTGGAAAGGGGTCCTCGATTCTGCCTTTCCAGCAAGCTCCCAGGTCACGCTGGTTCTCTCTTTAGATCAGCTGTTCCTGGGGCAGGACGTTAGTATGCTGTCCCCTACCACCCATCCCAGGTTCTGGCTGAGAATTTCTATCATTAACAAGCACGGTAGTGACTAATAGAAGGTGTATTGTGAACAGTGTGAAGGCAGACCCCAGACCACTCTTGCCCTAGAAGGGAACTTCAACCTTGCACAACCCACTTTTCACCTCTGACACTTAAAAAATGACACAATCTGCAATACAGTGTGAATGAAAAAGAGGCCATATACTAAACCTGACAAGCTCAGGGTGGGGCCACATGGCAGGCCTTACAAACTTGGCGACCAAACTTGACGACAGGATGGTCTGATCACAAATTCCTAACCAGGCAGGTCATAGTGGGTGGTCACGTCCCAGGCCTCTAGCTTCCTTAGCAGAGGTCAGTTTTTACCTTAGGTGAGCTCTGTCCAATGTTCTTATACATATAGAATATAATATACCTTTGAAATGTCAGAGTAATTATCTTTTCCTACCTCTCCAAGGCATAACTGCAGGCACCAGAGCAGAAGACCACGGAACCCCTCACACTATCTCTATGCGCTGTAAATGTTAATTATGAACTATCCTGTACCCACCAATGTAAAAGAAGTATGTGTTTCTTCCATTTTGCCTTTTTTCCAATCCTAGAGACTTCCCTGCTTTGCTTTCTACCGCCTCCCTTATCTACTACAAATGGATTTCATGTAACCCTCCTTACACTATCTCCTTTGATTCTAATGTATAAAATAAGCTGCAAACCTCCACTATCTGGAGCATTTTCTCAACCCATTGAGATTTTTCTTCCAGGCATGGCCTCAAAATTTGGGCTCAAATAAAGTCTTATATAACTTTTCTATAGGTTGAACGTTTTTTCATTGACAACAGAGAGTGAATCCAAATAATCACAGATGGGGAAGATAGTCACCATAGAAATTCTGAAAAGACTCTTACATAAAATTTAGGTTTCTCATTCTTATGGATTCTCACAGCGTCAGCAACTCCAAGGTTATAGGCAGCATTTTTTTGATTCTGTTCTCTAACAGCCAGGTTTCTCATCTTTGGGGGGGGGAAAAGCACATATTGAAATAGGGCATTTAAACAATTTAATTCTATTACATAAAAATAATCCAACCAAGGTAGAAACCTGCCTTTTGGAGGCAGTGGTACTTTATGATATCTTCATAGGTTTATAAAAGTGGTTTGGGAAAGGTTGTTTATTTCCTGTTCTTGGGCTTCAGGCAACACCCCTACAGGGATCATAAGAAGGAATCGAAGATTTCATAAGTGGTTACCTGATTCCACAAATGCAGGAAAGGGCAATAGGATCAATTATTGGAGACCACAGAAATCTGGACAGTGCAAATGTGAAGGTACCATTCTGTCTTTGCTTCTTGAGATAGGCCATGAATTTGAAGGAAAAAGCCTGACTGAGATTATATTTTACCAGAAATAAAAAATAAAGCCATATAGGATGGCCAGGTGGCTCAGTTGGTTAGGAGCACATGCTTTGAACAGCAAGGCAGCTCGTTCTATCCCCACATGGGCCACTTTGAGCTGCCCCCTCCTTAAATAATAATAATAATAATAATAATAATAATAATAATAATAATAATAATAACGATGCCATATAAATCCAGGAATTCCACCTTTAATCCTCCATCGGATTTTCAAATATCTAACAGTTAACTTAAGTATCATGGCTCATCGCTTCCATATCTTCCCCTTCTACCGTAACCTATCGCCAGTCATGTTTGTGACTTGGTATAGTAAAGACATATTTCATATTTTAAAATTTGTGTGCAATGAATCTGAGAGATCAGTTGTACCTGACAGAGGGTTAAAACTCAGGCCTTACGGAGGGAGGAAATCAGTGATATGTGCAAACATTCAGCAGCATGAATATTCCAGAGTTGTTTATTAATAGTGAAAACATGGACACAACCTAAGTTTGAGTCCTCAGTAAGTAAGTAAATGATTAAATATGCTACAGTACAGACAGATGATGGAACATTGTAAATGGCATTTTATAATCGCGTTCTACTGCCCCATGTTGAACACTTTCACTGAGGTGTTAAGCTACCTGGGATTTGAAGAGAGCTTCTTGATCTTTCACTATTTGATACTGCTGTGCGAGTTGCTCATCTTCTATCTCTTTCCTCCTCCTCTCTACATTGAGGAGCAATGGGGAATTTCGTTGTGCTCGTTGCAAACATACATAACACATCTCCTACAATACCAAGTTTTAGGACAAATTAATTTTTACCTTTTCCTTTTTTGCCTTCCCAAGCTCTCTCTAAAGGCTGGATATATCAGGAAGCATACATTATAAAAGGATATGTTCATGACAATTAGCAAAGCAGGCCTCACAAATATTCAAAAGGATTTACTGAACTCTCATTTGATCTGAAGTATCTATAGCAACAGAAAATTAGTAAGAGATTTCCCAGCCCTATTTCTGTTAACTATTGGGTTGTCGGAAAAGTCATGACGTATTTTGTCTGTGTTTTTCAAAGGTCATTTATTTATATAAAGAACAAAGATCAATCAATGATATAGTGCCCGTTTTGCTTGATAACCTTTTGCCATCTTTCAGTGAGCTTCATATTTCTTTGTTCATAGGGGGACCTGTCTTTATTTGCAAAAAACTGAACAAGGTGCTGATTTACAGCCTCATCTGAATTGAACGTTATACCACACAAGGAGTTTTGAAGAGAACGAAACAAGTGGAAGTCTGACGGTGCATGGTCAGGCGAGTATGGTGAGTATGCCAACACATCCCATCCAAGNGGTAGAGGAAGGAGAATAAGGAAATATGGAAAAAGGGAAGGTGAGAAGGTGCCAAGGAGATGTTGTGAGGCTGAGAGCTGGTCAGGACCTTTAAAAATTCCCCATTGGTGGGGTGCCCAATTAGGCATTTTAAGAAACTGGGTGTCTGCTGAAGAAAGAAATTGAAGATGATACAAATACAGTAAGTCCCCGACTTAGGAACATTCAAGTTGCAAACTTTCAAAGATACGAATGGACCTTGCATTACGAACATTCGTAGACGCGAACAAATCGCAGAAGTAGCTCACGTGTCTGCCGGACATTGTCACAGTTGTGCTGCTGTGTGCTTATTGCACAGTATTTAATCAGAGCCCAGGATGTCTGGAAGCAAGGGGAAAAGCAGTGGTGATGTGGAGGGGACTGCTAGGAAGTGTAAAGCCATAACCATGCTGAGGATCCTTCAGCTCCACCATCTCCCACCTACCCTCCCTCCTCCAGTTAGTGACTCTTTTCTTGTCAATTCACTCCATGCAATCCCCTATATGCCAGTTGTTGTACTGTACTGTACCACCATTTTAAGGTAACTGTAAACGTAAAAAGTTTATTTACAGTATTTTTGTATGTGTGTTTAGTATTTTTATGCTTTACCTTGTATATTTGTGTCAAAGGTGTATGAGACTTACTTTGTTGGACTTACAAATGAATCCAACCTACGAACGTTCTCCCAGAACGGAACTCATTCGTAAGTCAGGGACTTACTGTAAATGGAAGCATATGCCGTGCTCATGAGTGGGAAGAATTAACATCGTTAAAATGTCCATACTACCCAAAGCAATCTATTTATTCAATGTAATTTCTATCCAAATACCAATGGTATTTTTCACAAATCTAGAACAAATAATCCTCAAATTTACACTGAACCACAAAAGACCCAAATGGCTGCAGCAATCTTGAAAAAGAAGAGCAAAATTCGAGACATCACGCTGCCTGATATCAATCTATGGGTATACTATAAGGCTACAGTAATCAAAACAGCATGGTATAGGCATAAAAACAGACACATAGATCAACGGCACAGAATAGAGAGCCCAGAAATAAACCCACACCTATATGGTCACTTAATCTATGACAAAAGGAGACAAGAACATACAGTGGGGTAAATACAGTCTATTAAATAAATGGTGTTGAAAAAACTGGACAGATACATGCAAAAAATAATGAAACTGGACCACCTTCTTACACCATATACAAAAATAAACTCAAAATGGATTAAAAACTTAAATGTAAGACCCAAAACCATAAAACTCCCAGAAGAAAACACAGACAGTAAGTTCTGTGACATTGCTCTTAGTCATGTTTTTTCTGATATATGTCCAGCAAGGGAAACAAAAGAAAAAGTAAGCAAGTGGGACTACATCAAACTAATAAGTTTTTGCACAGCAAAGGAAACCATCAACANTTTGATTCCTTGGTAGGAGCTCGAAAAACACGACACCTTTAAAATCCCACCACACTGAGAGCATAACCTTCCTCTGATGAATGTCTGCTTTCAATGTCATTTGAGGTGAATCATTAAGTCAGGACTAAGACCGTTTGTGCACCACATTGTTGTAAAGAATCCACTTCTCATCACCAATTATCAGTCTCTTCAAAAAAGGATTGTTTTCCTCACGTTTAGCAGATGTTTATACGCGTCATCAAATGAACTTCTTTGAGTTCATGAGGAACCCAAATATCAAGCTTGCTTATTATGTATCCCAGCTTCTTCAGGTGGTCGTGAACGCTTGAATGATGGATGTTCAATGTTTCTGCAATCTCTCGTGTCATGTAACGTGGATTTGACTCAATCAATGCCTTTATTTTGTCTTCATCAACCTCAGTGGGCCTCCCTGACCAAGAAGTATCGTGAGATCAAAATCACCAGCACGGAATTTCATGAACCATCAGTGGCACTGATACTCTTGTAGAGCACTGTCACTGTAAACTTTATGCAACTTTTCACAAGCTTAATGCACATTCTTTCCTTTATGGAAGTAAAACACTAAAATATGGCAAAAATGCACAGTTTGGTCTTCCATCTTCAACTTTTTGTAAAATCTCCAAAACTGAACCAAATCGCTCAATTTTTTTTTTAGAATGAAGCTAGAGCTGTCAGCTGTCAAATGACATAGCAATAACATAGATGCAAATGACTCTGTACTTCCAAAAATGAACTAGTGCCATCTGTTGCAAACATGCATCATGACTTTTCTGACAACCCAATAATAGATTTTTTACTAGTAGATAGATTTATCAGAGCCCAAATGTGGTCCTGAGTACTTAAGCCATACCCATATACTAAAGAAAGAGTGATTCCAAGAACTCTCGTTAAGAAACAGAAGTCAGAGGAAGATTCTGATGGGGCTTTATTTGTTTGAAAACATTGTACCTGTCCTGCCTTATTATGATCCTGGCAAGAAGTAGCTGGAGAAATTTTATGCTTTATTTCATTGTCATTTTTCAGACATCCTGGAGATGATAAGCTATAAAATAATGCAACATTAATTAATGTTTAATACAGTCTGACATTTAGAGCAATGATAATTTTAGAGGCAAGTGTAAGAGAAAGAAGAATATCTCAGTGGCTTTCCTCAAAGCATCTGTATATATAGAGGTTAAGAGCCTATGCCCTGCGTCAGATAAAACTAGGTTTGAATCCCAGATTTTTTGCTGTAAGCTCACTAGCATTAGACAAGCTGGGTAATCCTGCCAAGTGTCAGTTACCAATTCTGTGAAATTGGAATAAAATGCGTTCATTCTGTAAAAATGCATTGAGTGCTTACTATGGACATTGTTCTCGGCATGGGAGATGCAGTGAAGAACAAAACACACACATATAAATCCCTGTCTTCATGGAATTAACATTCTGATGGGGACAGACAGCCCATAAACAAGATAGATAAGTGAATTACATAGTATGTTCGATGGTGATAAGTGCCATGCAATGCTGAAGGAATGGAGTATTAAACCATAAATAGAATGGCCTGGAAAGTCTCGCCAAGAAGGTGACATATGAGTAAATACCTGCAAGAAATGAGGCAAAAATAATAAGAGATATCTGATTTTTAAAAAAGGCATCCCAGGCAGAATAAATGAGGGCAAAATCCGTGAGGTGGGAGCATGCCATGTTCAGTGTGGCTAGAGGGAACTGAGTTAGTAGGAGAAAATGAGAGAGATCGGGGATCAAGCAGGATCCTTGCAGGCCATGATAATGTCTTTGGCTTTTGCCCTAGACATTAAGAATGTCTAAGATGGGTAAGACATGGGAAGCCATTGAGGGGAGAATGTCCATTACTAGCAGAGTACAATGTCCAGTATTAGCAAAGCTGTAGAGAAGACAGAAGGCCCTCATATGATAGCCACTAGAAAGATAATTTGGTACCACCTTCCTGAGGATAATTGGTAATGTGCATCAAAGGCATAGAAAAATGATCTCATCCCTTATCGCTGAAGTTGACTTTAAAGTTTTTATCCTATATGCTATTCAGTTGTGTACAAAGAATTATTTTTAATTAGAATTATCACATTATTATAATATAAAAAATTTTAAGTCATCTAAATATCCAATAGGAGATTAGTTAAACAAAAGGTTTAATCAATGAGATGATATGTAATCATTTGTTCATGTTTTAGAATATTTGAAGTCATGGGGCTCTTCATCCCTTATTGAGTCTAACAAAGTTTTATTAAAAATGTGTGTATATGAGTATGTTGCAGTATAAATATATGTATATATTGCATATGCATTAAAATGAAGAATATATACCATAATGTCAACAGAAAGTTTCCTCTATTTAGTGGGATTATGCACCCCACTAAATAGAAATTTTATATTTCTTGCTTTTTATCGCTTATTCACAATTTCCATAATCAACATATATTACTTCAGTAATCAGCACACAAAAAAAACATTTTTTGGTCAACTTCTATAGGAAACCTTCATTACTAATCCCTAACAATTACGTCCCCTCTTTGCAGACCTCTGTACTTTCTTTTGCTGTCTTCATCACGTGCATTATTTCTTTAGTGTCAATCTCCCTACAAGAATTTTATGAAAGTAGGTTTATATGCCTTTTATATGTTTTATAGCTCTGTATCTTCAATGTCAAGAAATTGCCTGGCATGGTGGTGCTCAGTGTTTATTGGATTGAACTAAATTACAAAGCACTAGACATATAACTCTCAATTATCTTTCATAACAGTGAGACTATCAAAACCAAGCATGCTTAGTGTTTTGAACATTGTAGTTATCCACAGTACATAAATCACACATATGATAGCTGATGCATTGTGACAAATTAGTAAATTGAAGGTTGACAGCACAACACAAGGTACATAAAGGTACTCAATAAATACTCGAGTAATTTGAGGTCTTAAAAAGTATCCTCCTCAAAGGGAGAAGGAGGAAATACAAATTTTTGACATAACAATAAGATATGGCCATCATAAATTGCAATATATGCATTCATTCAAAGAACACTTATTGAGTGCCAGCCATCTTCGGCAAAACTGCTTTCCAATTTGATCTAAATATGAAACTGTGTCATATCATGATATCCAAGCACTCAGAAAACAACAAGGCAATTTTTCCAAAATCCAAAAGGAAAGTTAGACGTTCCCGCCTCTGCGCTATTTTATCCTCCTGAATTTGTCACTCTCTGTATGGCTGTCCTTCCCACTAGATCATGAGTCCTACTCGTCTTTATTATCCCCATCACCTAGCAAATATAATACACTAAGAATACTGAATGAAGGTATGAGTAAACACTTCTTTAAATTCCCTGCATTTAAGAAATGACTCAAAAATGTATTTAGTAAAGTGCAACAGGAAAAATACCAGTACCTTTCAGGGCTCACATTCTTCCCACCACTCCCACTCTCCTTGAACTTATTTGGCAAGTCGATGCCAGTCACTTTGGCAGAAGAGACAGCTTGTCTATCCTGAAGTCCCTTGGGTGATAAGATCTCTGTAGAATGAATGAAAGTGAGTTCACTTTCAACTTTCAGTGGGTGGTTTGTACTTAACATGAACTTTTGAAACTCATAATTTTAACCAGGTAAAATTTTCTCCTAAGATATGCTTTTTTAATGTGTAAATTATTGTCCCTTATCCTAGTGTAGTTTAAAAATATTTTTGCTGTATACTTAATACATGCAAAGCACTGGCTGGGTACTTTAGAAAATACTGGGAGGCAAGCCTTTGCCCTTAAAGATCTTTCAATAGATACAGTCGGAGAGAAAAATAAGACAAACAAAAAACCTGAGAACTCCCATTTGTGGAGGTCTTAATACGTGCCAACAGTGCTAAGTGCTTTATACACATTGCATAAATAGCAATTCAGAACAGTGATGCAAAACGTCTAAATCCCAAGCAAATGGTGCAATCATTAAGGGTCTGACATGTTCAGGAAAGAGAGAGGCCACTCAGAATCCAGTGATGAAAGAAGTGTTCAGGGAGGAACTGAGATGTGAAAAGGGCACTAAAGAAGTGAACAGGATTGGGATAGGCTGTAAGAAAAGGAAGGGCAATCTAGGCAGGAGGAAAAAAATGAACAAAAGCATCAAGTCAGGGAAGGACAAGGTATGTTAGGAGAACAAAAATAGAAAATTTTGCTCAAAGAAGTAGTCTGTAGGGAACAGTTACAGAGGAGGCTAAGGAAATGAAAGCATATGAATATTAGGCTAAAAGTTTCTACGTAATCTCGTAGGCCACATGACACAAAATCAACATCCATGAGACAATGTTTGCCCATTGATATGTTTTGTTCGGTCCAATCAGCCTTTTTTGTTTCAGTGTCAATTAGTTGTCAACGTTTAACAACAAGTAAATTTCACATGTCAAAATCTCTGCTTCTCTTGAAAAATCAGAAAATTTGATACCACTTGGCTCACATTTCCACAAATCAACAATCTGATAGAGGAACAGTCCTCAGAGGGTAATCTGGCAACCCCTTTGGATTCCTAGAACCCTTTAGAAAAGCCTTTGAAGTTCTAGTTTTCTTCAGATACTTCAACCAAAACAACATATCACAACATTTATGAAGACATAGATATGAGTATCCACTATCTTCTATTAAGCCAGATATCAAAGATGTAAAATTACCACTCATCATTTTTCATTAAAATTATTTATGCCAACATGTTTCACTATCATGTTACATTCGGACCACTTTATGTGTTTACTACCTGCTTGGACCATATAGGCATCTGAGTTTTAAGCTCTTTTAGCAATGGGGAGCCAGCAAAGTGATCATAATCTAAGAGCCTGAGAGTCATAAAGCAGTTAAGGTAAGATACAAGATTCCAGGAATAGGAGATGTTTGTTAGAGAGAAGAATACAGTGATTATTCATGAATCTAACTTTAATAACTTTGGGCAGGAGTTACTAAGCAACAGAGCTAGGCCAGGGGTCGGCAAACTGCGGCTCGTGAGCCACCGCGGCTCTTTGGGTACATACATGTGGCTCTGAAGTAAAATAAAAAATGAAAATAAAACTATCCTAGTTTCATTTATAAAATTTTTAAAGGCTATTATTCACATAATGGTGATTTCATTTGTTTTATGGCTCTCAAATAATTTTTAAATTGTGAGGGTTAGGATTGTCTCTTCTGTCTCAAAAGTTTGTTGAACCCTGAGCTAGGCTCATAAGCAGTAAAGAGTGACAGATTATACCCAGAAACCATTGGCCTACCTCTGACGCCTTCTTCTTTGTCTGTCTGGTCTTTCAACTTGCTCTTCCTTTGTCTATTCTTTCTACCTTCTTCTACAATGGTCTCCATAGGCGATTTGTTCTCCATCTCCTTAAGCTCAATCCTAGGAACAAGCCAAGACGTTTGTCCATCTGGACCTGAATAGGTGACTGTATGAACTCTCAATTCTGACAAACAACCCACAAATTCACTGATTCTGAAATAAGCCCACTTTTAACAAGGGGGTGAATGCTTTGATTTGCTGAGTACAAATCATCGACTCCTTCTCTTTGAGACTAAGTCTAGGGGCCAACTAAGACCTTTCCCTCTCTATTCTGAGTGCTCAGAAGCAACTCTTATATAAATTGCTTTAAAGATCTGGATTTTAAGTTTTTTGGTTTGGTTTCAGTTTGAATGTGTCTGTCTTTTCTAGTTCCATAATAGATGCCATTGGGATGATACAGTGAAATGTAGTTGATGGATAGCCTGAAGGCAAGGATTCATTCACAGCCTAGTAGGCAGAGTATGCCCAGAAATAACCATTACTCTCCTTGTTCTTTCTCCTTCCCACTCCACGCCAGGTATAGAGTGCTGGGTTAAAGCTTGGGGGGCGGGGGGGGGATACTTCTAGTATACTCAGGGGCAAAACTTTAAATAAATAAGACACCTACAATTGTTTTGTGTATTTGAGTCCTCGTGTCCATTTGCAGGGTCTCTAAGTGACATGGAGGCTCTATTCCTTGACTCATTGCAATTATTTCCCTCCTTGAGCGTTAAAGCCAAAATATGTTCAAGAAGACAGACAAATTTGCCTTCCAAAATATAATCAAGTTAAATCCGTTGATTTATTTTTAACAAGTAAGGCAACATGATACAATGAAAAGAACATCGTAACAGTCAAGAGCCATGGTTTTACTTCTGGCTTAGCCACTCATTAGCTGTATGGCCATTTCATCTGCAAGAAGAGGGGATTGGACTAACTGATCTCTAAGGCTTATTCTGGCCTTGACACTGATTTTGCTGAGGTATGTGTCATTCCAGGAGGGAGTTGTTCCAAACCAACAAACACAAGAGGATGTCCCAGACTCAATAAACATGAGAAAATAATACTCTAGGAAGCTGGTTGTTATTCCCCAAACTTCCTCTACCTGAAATGCACAGTAGTTAATGGCACAGAAATTAAGAACATGATTAAGAGCATACAATGAGTGAGTGATGGACACACTGGAAATAAAACTCAAGTAGCCTCTTACTCCAGTGCTCTTAAAGCTATACCATGTTGCTACACTTGTTTAAAATTTTTTAATTACAATTAACTTTGCACTTCTATAAAATGGATACAATTATACTACATATCTGAAATTACTGTAGTGAAGATTAAATACAATTAATATTAAGAAAGTGCTTAACAGTACCTGGCAGCTAGTAAGTGCTTCATAGATAACTAGTATTATTATTCATTAGTATTGTTAGTACTATTATAATCATTGTCAGCAGCAGCCACCTATGACACCTACTGCACTCTTGGGATAAAGCTGTTACTAAAAGGAGCATGAGCTACAAAAGGCTGAGAAACACTGCCGAATTAGATCAACAGAGCAGCAAGGATTGCTGGTGCCTGGAGGAGTCTGGGGAGTAAAATACTCACCTTGGAAATGCAACCGTGCTGTTGGGCTGCTTCCTGAAGGTCTCTCGGCTGGACAGCACCGAGTCCACAGTGCCAGGCCTCTGGAGGACAGGGACAGAGAAGGATTACACCTGGGCTGTGGTCCAGGACACAGACAAATCAAAGCTAAAGACTGTCTCAGAGGCAAGGCTACCGTGATAATCTTCATTGTTATTTCTGTTTTGTGCTAAGTCTAGAGCTTAAACTCCAAAGAGGAATGACCTCATTTATCAACATAGTCACATAGCAATTCCATGGATGCTTTCTTTTCTCCAACCATTTCTTCTTTGGAAATTGCCTTCAGAGTTGATGGCTTCTTTTATACAGCTTTAAAGAGAAGAGCTGACTTACTGAAACTCTCAGGAAAATGAGGAAACTGACTAATTCTACTCTTGACCCAAATAACTTGAAAATTGGGCTTTGGATTTTAAAAGAAATGTTGTGGATTCAGGTGAACTCATGTTTAAACCTCCACACTGTTAACAGCTGGGTAGTCTTAGATCCTAGGTATCTGGGGATAATAACTGGATCTAGTTTACAAAAATTTTATGAGGTACGTTATGGAAGTGGCTAGCACATAGTAAGCACTCAATAAATAGCAGTTATTATAATTAATTGTCACTACATTATATAATCACATTGTTACATTATACTAGTATAGAATAATAATTTTATTATTCTATACTATATTCAATATTCAAAATTATTCTTTTTGGATGAATGATATGGCTTACAAGAGGCTTTGAAGGGAATTCACAAAAAGAGGTTTTAAAAATGTTTTGAGCAGAAGCAGCATCACTGAAATAAGCACACAGCTTCCCAAGAGAAATATTCTGAAGGATAGCACTCAGGTTTAAGTAATGGGACATTTAGGGGGGAAATCATCACTCTCACCACTTTACAGTCATTTCCCAAAATAAGCTTTAGAGATATTAACCAGCATTGGATTAACCCAGAGTTCCAGGATTAAATACACTTAGGCAGTTAAAGTGGCTTCTTTCCAGCCAGACCTCTCAGATCCTTTAATATGCGACATGCTTTGTGTCTCTGTGAGGGTGATACTAGGCAGCAGTTCCCCATCTGCTTTGACCTCCAAATCCTTTTTTCAGAGAATGTCTCTCAGGACTAGTTCTTTTGGAAAATGCCCCCTTAAAAGCTATGTCTTAGAGTGCAGCAGGACAATGTACAAGTTATCCTCTCTTTTAAACACATATCAAAGCTACAAAGTTCTGTAGAATCCCTGAAGTTTAGAGATAGTCCAGAGTTTGGGTCTGATTCTGTTTTTTAATATCTTGCCTTGTGTTTTCATGGAAAAGAGAGAGGGTTATACCTGTGTGTGTTTCCACTTTCCACACACAGGGCTGGACCCCCTCTTAGCAATCCTATATGAAGCCAGATTAGGAAGAAAATACTAACAGTCTCATTATGCACAACTCCGCCTCCTAAACCCCCATCCCAGAGCTCCATGAAAGGAGAAATTAGAAGGTTGAATTAGACCATATTTATAGTCTTTCATTTTCTAGAGTTTTCATTTCAAAGGCAGGCTTTTGTTCTAAGGGACATAGGATTAAATAACATTTGTGACAATCTAATTTACTCATACCAACTTTGTTAGTTCCTAGAGGTACACCTAAGGCCCACTAAGTATTCAGTTAGCCCTGTTGACTGACTATTCATTGCCTCTTTAAACGCTGCTATATGTACAACTTAACATGACGGTCACATCAGTTACTTAATGGTTAACAAAGATGGGGTCAATTATTAAATTTCTCCTACAACATGGCATATAGAAGCTAAAAATCCATCTCCATGACTTCAATTAGATTTCGTTGTAGACTTTCATTAAAATAAAATAGTATAACCAGAAAAAAAAAAGTGATTAGAAAGTCTGGGCTTAAATTTCAGTTCTACAACTTATCAGCACCCTGCTGTCAGGCCTCCTACACAGCATCTCTCAGCCCCAAGTTTTCTCATTCGTAAAATCGGGATGACAATAATGCTAGGTTTATAAAGTTTCAAGACTCAAATATAATAATATATGTGGAAGAGCTTTTTAAACTGTAAGGTCCTATAAAATATTCAGAATTGTGACAGTGCCTATAACTATTTATATTTTTTAGTTGGCATTGACTCAAAACTTAAAGTTCCTTTGCCTTTCTAACCTTCTGTCAGAGTTATCATCTATAAATAAGCACTTCTTTGCACTTAGGGTAATTGTCATTTAAAACATGTCAGCCTGAATTCTCCTTAACGATGGCACACTTACAGATGATTTAGAGATATGACGGGGAGAGGGGTTAGGAGAAGAAAAACACTAATTTATTTACATTTGCTAGGGCTTTTGCTAAAGCCCCACTTCCATCCATTGTACAAAGGAAGTCCTTATAAAATCTCATCTTCACTATGCCATCTCTGATCTCGAGGATCCCAATTCCTTTGAATGTAAATTCCACATTTTGTTTGATGGAAATGGATCGTGATAAAAAAAGCAACGTCTCCTTCACACATCCTTCCACTGTATCCCTCTTAAATGGACCCTCCAGGGATATCATAACAAAATTAAGTGGAACAATTGGGATATTACCTAGAAAAGAAAAAGACAGTTGGGGTGGGGAAAAGGAAGTGGAAATTACAACGAGGATGTATCCTATATACTTACAAATAATTATTGATTCTCACTTAATACTCAAAAATAGAATTATCCGTGTGAAGCCTTTAGCTGTACCCAATGAAACATTATTCCCACAAACAACTAATGCTGGTTATTAATAGATGCTAATAAGAACAATTTTCCCTAAAAATGCAATGTTTTTTGCTTAAAATAAGAACAATCAGCTTTCTAAACAATACGCCAGATGAGTTTTTTATTTTCTCCTGGAGACACAGTAATAGCTGACTTCTCTTCATCAGAGGGTTTTCTGAATTTTTCAGCCCCCTTATCTTTCAGGACATGGCTGGCAGCAATATTTGCCTATCTCCTCCAGCTATCATGCCATTTTTAAATGATAATAAATATCTACAAACATTAAGTGTTTTGAAAAGATAGTCATCTTCAGTGGAAGTTGCCTTTCAAATGAAATTGGGTCTTATCAGAGGATATCAGACTGAATAACTTGCAGAAAGCTTTTCCATAAGTGACAGTGCAAAAGGAGCAGGCCTATATGGAGCTTGAAGGCAGCAGCACAAAGTCTACTCAACTAGAACAGATATAGGAGCTATGCAAAGTCCACAGATCAGAAAAGGGTTACGTAAATAGCAACGATCGACATGATACATCCAAAGAGAGACAGGCAGTCAACAAGGTCCACTGGTAGAGGAACAGGATAGAGGGAAAATGCTAAACAATCATTCAACAAGCATTCATTTATAGCCTTTCAAATGTCCAATACTGCTGGATGATGAGGATTAACAGCGCTGTAAGACACAAGCTTCCCTATGTCAGTCCACTGTCTCCTGTACAATTTAAGGGTGATTCTATACCACCTCCCTCCATTTCATTTCTTAAAATAAATTACTTAAAAGACAAAGCTATTTTGCCTGCCTCTAGATTCTCCCCTCCCATTTGCCCAAGGCCTGTCTGCAATTTGTCTTCTAGTTGTACTTATCTCAGTAAGGACACCATCATCTCATGATGGACAAGCCACTGGATATGTTGCAGATCTTATTCTCATGACTTCTGTTTCACTTCTGTTAACCATGCCCTCTCTTCTCTTGTATCCACAGCAGCACTCTTCATTCTCCAATTTGCTGGCTTCTTTCTTCTTCTACTTCTTATAAGATGGTGGTTTGTTTGTTTGTTTGTTTTACAGGATTTTGTCCTTTGCTATCTCCTCTTACTGTATATTTTCCCCTGGGTAAACTTACTCAAATCTTGACCTCTAGTCTCCACCCCTTTCCTGAGCTCTGGAATCATCTCTACCTAACTCTCCCTACAGGAATCTCAAATTCAACATGTCCAAAAGCAAACTCATTATTATATTTACCGCCACAGCCTGCCTTTCCCCACTTGACTCCCTATGGCAGTTAACAGCATCTATTCTCTAAGAAATCTGAGTCATCCTAAATACCTTCCTCTCGCTACCCAATATTCTCAACTGGCAGCTTAATCCTGTCAATTCTACATCTCAAATGTCTGGTGAATAGATTCCCTCATCTTCCTCCAGACTGCCACTACCTCCATTCAGGCTTTTACCACATTTTACCAAATTCCTATAACTATTGGGCTGTTGGAAAAGTCATGACGTCTTTTTGCAATGAAAAACATAGAAAAAATATGTCATGACTTTTCCGACAACCCAATAAAAGAGCTATCTTCCTAAACTAAAAACTGGACTGGTACATATAATCCCCTGCTCAAAAACTTCCAATGGCTCCTCAGTGCCTCCAGGATGAATTCCAAAGTCTTTATCACCCCGTTTAAGGCTCCTCATAATGTGAACCCTTTGAATCATTTTTGTTTTACCTCCATCCACTTGTCTCCACAGTCATATGCCAAGATCACACAGGAGCCCTTAACAGGATTCACTTTTTCCCTTATTCTTGCATTGTTCATACTGTTCCTAAACTATCTTCCACAGCTTCTCTACCAGCAAAGTCCTATCATCCTTTAAGACCTCCTCACATGTCATCTTCCTAAATCTCCCCAAGCAGACTTGCGCAATCCTAGCATTGGATCCAGTTCTTATCAATGCTGCTCTTACGGCACTTAATCATTTTGCATCATTTGCTTATATGTATATCTATCTCCCATGCTAGATTCTGAGTTATTCAAAGCACAGACCATGTCTTAAGAATCTTTAAGAATCACTGTATAATGTTTGATTAGATACTTAGTTAATCAATGATGGAAAATCATAACCCCCAAGCTAAACTGTGGACGGAATTATTCTTGTGAACTAATCCAGTCATATATGTTTAATTCTGAAATTTCCTCAACCTTGTGAAAAAATTAATTATAGATCTAAACTACTTTTTTGGACTACACTACAAGGTCCAAGATAGGTGTCACCTTGCAGCTGCTGACAGGAATGCTCCTGCACTGATCCTTTGAAGTCATAAGGGAGTGTCTTGGAATGCTAAGACCAAGGGAATAATCTTGGTAAAGCTTCCTTATCTGATGATCTCAGAATGCTGCCTGTGTCTGTCCATAGGGGTCATACATATGTGTGAAAGCACAACTTGTGTTTGATCACAAGGTGTTTTGGTGAAGCAGTTGCTAGACACATCGAATTAACAAACTGGGTTTAGATATTCAAATTTACTTCTTTGTGGCAGTTGAGAATAAAAGCTTTGCGCTCACCAGAATTACAGAGACTTGAGACCCCTGGCCTGCAGAAACTCTTATATTTGACTGTTGTATTTCTTAACCCTTCGTCACCCCTCCTCAAGCTCCCCAGCCCTTATCATGCGTGACGTGATAGATAGGAAATAAGGTCTAATTATAAGGCACAAATGTTTTAGGGGGAAAAAAATGGCTTTATTTTTGTTTCATTTTGTAGGCTTTTAATAAATTAGGATATTCCTTCTGTCATAAAACTCTAGGTAAAAATGGCTGAAAAGTTCATCAAACCCATCATACTGAATACATACATAATGAATTCTAAGTATACTTTGTATTTTTCCAATATATTATTTTTTGGTGGAAAGTTACTCTGAAAGTTAATTTTCGGGGAATTTAATTAACATAAAGGAAATTTTCAGCCTTTTCATCTTATGGAATTGAGGTAGACTGTCTCTCTTCCTCCAGCTATGAGTCTGACACAGAAGGGGCTGATGATTAGGAAGCTCAAGAGAAACAGTCAGAAATCAAGAAGGGAGCCCCCAGGATGCAGGAGAGG